GGGGGGGAGAAAATGGTGAACTTGAACTAGGTGACCTAGGTTTTATTGCTGTTTGATATTACCTTACATAGAATATAAGCATCTCTTGGAAATGTAGAAACAAATACCCCTGATGCTCCAGATCTGCTTATAGGTATTTTAATTTGGACGTGACTCTCTCAGTCAGGGTCATGCAAGAAAGCAATTCCAAAGCCTTTTGGAGGTTGTGGGTCCAACTGTTGTGGGGTGTGGGACCAGCTGCATGTCCCATTAAGACCAACTCTCCAACCTATTTGCCTTTCCTATTGTATTTTGCCAGCCTGTGCCTGTTCTTTCTTCTCTGCCTCGCCTCGGTTAATGATGTTGCTGATACCTGGAACGCCAGGCCCAGCCCGAGGCTGCCAGGTTGCTGTAAATCCTTCTTGGGGTTTGATTGATGGCTTCAGTTTGTGCCATCCAGTTCTTACCGATTTCTTGTGTGTGTGTGTGTGTGTGTGCATTTTTAACCTTTGACAGAGCAGATAAGAGCCTGGAGGATGGGCTTTTCTGGGGTGCACATCAAGCTGAGATCCAGTGCCACCCTGAGCACAATCAGGAGAGATTTCCTGGACCGCTACACATCAGATTTATTTTTTTATTATCTGCAAATCAGCTGCTAGGCAGGATGCAAAGGGTGTAGAGGGTGAGGCATCCCGATGGGCTGGGAACATCTGAGCAGAGCTAGTTCCAGGTTTTGGAAGAAGGAACAAACCCCCTCGAGTGCCAGTGAGCCATGGTGCAGTGGAGGGACTTGGAAATGCAAACTGATTATTGCTGCGAGCTGGGTGAGGGGGGATTAGAGGAGAGTCGCTGCCTCTTGTTTTTCTGCTGCTTTTTTTTTTTTTCTGTAAGCATCCTCCTCTGGCTTCTCTCGGAGACAGGTTCCTGGGGAAAAGGGACCTTTGAGCTAACCCAGGCTGACAGCGTTATCACCCAGGGAAGCAAGGAGCTCGCAAATGCCAAACCTGGGTTAATTTTAAATGGCTTTAACTAGACTTGGCCCCTGTTGGGGAAAGGGGAGCAAGTGTATTCCTGTCTCGTGAAATACAGAAAAGTGCCATATTATCTGTGACCCCAGATGGATGGGCTGTCAGGCAGGGCCGTGCCTCGGGGTGTTGGGGACACGGTTTGCCCCCACGCATTGCCTGTTGCACAAGGATGCTGTGCGGGCGATGGGGCACAGCCGCGGGTGGAGTCGGCTCCTCCGATTGCCTCGCCTCTTTGCAAGGCTCTCCTGGCAGCGGGAGGGACGCTGCTTTGTCCCTGCAAGCCTGCTGGAAACACCCTCAGCTTTCAAACTTCATCCCGCAGTGTGAATCCAAACTGCTGGATCCTAAGCAAGAAGGGTTGTGGACAGGTAGAGAAGGTTGGTTGGTTTATTTAGAAACAAACAAACAAATCTCTTTTGATCACTAAAAGAAGCTGTGTGAGCTCAGTGTGCAGATCCCTGAGAAACAACTGGTGTAAAGTGACCCGTCTTGGAGTATCGTTGCAAAATCACCGAGCACTGGGCCACCAAGTAAGCTTAATATTTCTTAAAGCAGTAGGGGAAGAGGCGAGGTGCCAAAAACAACCTTTGCAAGAGAGAGCAGCTGTGCTGGAACTGCGGGGCTGCTGCTCCGTGTCGGCCCGGGGCTGGTGCTGGACTCCCCTGCCACCTTTGTCATTCCCTCTTCACTCACTCCTTCCTCCCCTGGGTTTTTTTTTTACATGTAAGGCTGGGTTGAACGACACGGCGGGTGAACCTCAAAGCATTTCACAAAGCTAAAAGCCAGAGCTGGCAGCTGGGATCCTCCCTGCTCTCTGCCTGTCCGGGAGGAGCCCCCGTCTTTCCATTTCAACCCGACCCGTGTCCGTGTGGAGCCGTAGAGCCAGAGCAGCCATTTCGCCCATGCTGGGAGCCGTTTGCTCGAGGCGTGCAAGTTTGGACAGGCTGTTGTTGCCTTTCCCTTCCCGGCATCGTGCTCCTGGTTAAACATTCTCCCGGTGTCCTCG